AGGGGGAAGCAGGAGCAGCAGAGACCTAGAAAAGACTTGTGTAACTGGTACTACTAGGGAGACAACAGACCTAGTGAGCTGAGCTTCTGTCTCTCCAATTTGCCTCTCAAGCAACACTCCAAGCACTTCCCAAGCCAACTTCCTTTTTCCCCATCACCTCATCTAGTTCACATCCCTACCCCATTTCAGGTTTATTGTTTCTTTTTATTTACGTTCTTAACTCTTATTTTTATCAGTTCTAATACTAAAAACATTTGGTTCCTGCTTCATGGCAACTCTGCTTCAGTTTCAGCAAACAGCTATTCACAAGGCACATGTCCAAGTTTCTGAATCTCATTCAAACAAATAACTAACACTTGCCAAGAATTTTTAAGTTGGAAATCTATAAGGTGTTACTTTTACTTTTGAAATATCTGTCCGTAAGATCTCCATCTTGCTGAAGTCAGGATTAAGATTGTGCACAAGAGCAATTGTTCTAGATTGAATGCATGTTTTGGATAGGGATATAAAATCCCATTTAACTGATTAAACATTAATCAGTTAACTGGTTAAACTGGGATAGGCGAGGGGGCTGTTCCAGCCTGCTGGGCTAAAGTGGCCTCCTTGCCCGCCACAGCCAGATTATGGGGCTGCTGGCTCTTGCGCAGAGGGGGGGGGGGGGAGCGAAGTGGGACAAGGAAGCAAGGAGGGGGAGCCCCCAGCCTCTCTTGGGGCAGAATCCCATTGCTGCTTCCCCACCTTTTCCTCCCCACGCAAGTCTACTGATTTTCCCCCCTTTCCCACGCGATGCTGCCAACTTGATGTGCATGGGGAGCTACTCCCAGATAATGATTAACAATTATCCGAAAAGCATCACCTGTTAAAAGTGATGCTTACTGGGTAACTGGTTACCCATTCACATCCCTAGTTTCAGGGCAGTTGCATGTGGGAGAAAGAAAGGGACTTGTGGGAAAACGGATCTGCATGTGTTTGTGTGTTATATGCATTTTCTACTTAAGCCAGCATTCATATACTGACCAATTTTTTTTTTTAAGTGATTTGTACTATTGGGAAATGCAAGTTTTGTTTTTGTGGGAGGTGTGCAATGTTCTGAACTTGTTTCTAGGCCTACGTTCCCTCTAGGGCGCACGCTTGTGCGGGCACGCAGAGAGAATTTTAGTCCCGTCCATCTCTTTAGCAGAGCCATGCAGCAGTGTGCTGGTGCAAGGTTAGCTGCTGGTGGTGATGATGGTAGGCTTGGTGGACGAGTGGGGGCTCAGCCAGACAGCTGTCTGCTTGTCCCCGACTCCCCAGGACTGCAGGTGGCTACCCAGCCATTCCCAGGGTGGGCCATGTAGCGGGTGGCTGCCGGAACTGGAGTCCCCTGTGCCCCTGCCGCTCCCACTGTCCTCTGGCTCTATCCCCTGCCCCCTTCAGCCCCTGCTGGCTTTCCCCCTCTGGTTCCCCACATGTTGCTGCCCCCCATCTTCCCACTTCTTGCAAACCCTGGGGGCTGACATCAGCTTCTCTCTGCCCCAGGAAGGGACTCTCAGCCAGTCCCGTGGAGAGCAGCCTGGGACAGCCCTGGCACTGCACCCAGGTGGCCTCAGGAGCGGTACTCCCTGGGGGAGCAGAACTCATCATCTTCCTACGAGGGGGGCGTGCTACCTGGGAGCAGGGCTCAGGGTCACATCAAGAAGGGTCAGCCTGGGGTCTTTACACTGGGCAAGTCTCTTGGCCTAGCCACCTCCCACACCTGAAGCCAGGGCTTGGGGGTCTCCAGCGACAGCAACCAAGATCCAGGAGGCTGCAAGGAGTGTGGGTTGCCCTGGCTCTGAGTCCCTGCAGCACCTGCAATTCCCTGCCTGTGGCCAGGCTGTGTGAGCGGGGCTGGCTCCGCCTGGCGCCCCCTGGGTCCTAGCATGCCAGGTGGCCTGGGACTTGCCTGGGTGTGTCTGGCTGGTATTGTTCTGTATTGCACTGCCACCCCCAGGCCTGCCGAGGAGGGGCAGAGGGCTCAGTTGCCCAGAGACTGGCGCTTTAAAAGGTCCTAGGCCCTAGGCAATGGGTAACAGACATTAACTTTCTTTTTATTTGATTTTTATATCAAACATTTAAAGTCATGCACCCTGTTAATTATCCCTTGCTTCAGTAGTCTTTCTTCCATAATATTGTAAAATTAATATA